TAATAAAAACCAACCACGCTAATGCGAGCTGTCAAACATCGACTGAAACAATTGCATTTTTGAGCACGTAAAACATCGATTTGATTAGTTAGCCACCGTCTTATCCCGATATACTTCTACCTGAGTGGCAAAGTACTTCGACAATTTCTTTAAGCGCATACAAAAGTATTTAGATCTTAATGGAGAATATTTTGAAAAACAGAAATTTTTCGATGATAAATATGTGTTTTTGTTTTTAAATCGTGAAATACAAAAGGCCACCTACGTATAGTTATAATAATACAAAACTTAAACATACTTTTAATATTTTATGAATATATTAGCAGAAACTTGAATGCAAACGTGTAAAAATTTTTACTAATAATAAGTCATAATAACAATACGCAAAAATATATTGCGGAAAAATGTAAATTGTTTTATTGCACTTATTACCATATGACTTGTTTTTCTTTGCCTTTATTGCTGCTTAAACAGCTACACATACATCTAAGCATATGCTAAATGTATATTTTACTCTGTTGCAGATACTGGGTTTTTCGATCATGGGGCCGAATCGGCACTACTATTGGCGATCAAAAATTGGAAAATTTTGAAAACCTATACGAAGCCAAACAATCATTTCTTCTTGTTTATCATGATAAAACTGGAAATGATTTTACTAATCGCGAACATTTTATTAAGGTTTGAAACATATTGATAATTTTTTTTGAAGAATTATATTAGATTAAGATACCTACTGTTTTTTTTTTTAATATTATTTAGGGAAAAAGTAAATGATAATATGAACCCGAATATTGAGTTTTTGAACTTGATTTTTAACTCTTATTTTCGAATTCAGAAACTATTGGCAAAATTCTGAAATAAACTTGACTATTATGCATTGTTATAATATTACTATAAATTTCATAAATATCTATTTTGTACTACAATATAAATCATTGACGTAATCCTATTAAAAATGTATAAAACACCATAACTTACGCAATAATATTACTATAAATTTTATAAATATCTATTTTATACTACAATATAAATCATTCGACGTAATCCTATTAAAAATGTGTAAAACAGCATAAATTGCGCAATAATATTTAAATATCCTTTTTCTGTTTAAGGTTCCTGGCCGCATGTACCCAATAGAAATCGATTATGAGGAGCAAAAAACTATATGTCCGGAAAATTTTAAAATAAAATCAAAGTTAAATACATCAGTTCAAAGTTTAGTTAAAATTTTATTTGACGTTGACACTATGAAAAGAACAATGATGATGTTCAATCTAGATATGGAAAAAATGCCGTTAGGCAAATTAAGTGAGAAGCAAATTCAGTCTGCTTATAAAGTACTTTCCGAGATTCATGATCTTATACAGCAGAATGGGATGACGGTTCAGTTTATTGACGCCACTAATCGGTTTTACACCTTAATCCCTCATAACTTTGGTGTTCAAAATCCTCCAATTCTAGATAATATTGAGCTAGTTGAGAAGCACCGACAAGTCCTTGATTCTCTTTTGGAAATAGAATGTGCTTACAGTATGTTACAAGCAGAAAATAAAGAAGAAAATGTGAATCCGTTAGATAAACATTATGATCAACTGAAAACCAAGCTTGATCCCATTGATAAAAACTCAGAAGAATACAAAATACTTGAAAAATATGTACGAAATACGCACGCCGAAACTCATAAAATGTATAAACTGGAAATCGTTGATATATTTAAGGTGGTTCGACAGGGTGAAAATAGACGATATAAACCCTTCAAAAAACTTGAAAATCGGAAACTACTATGGCATGGTTCTCGTCTTACTAACTTTGCAGGAATTTTGTCACATGGCTTAAAAATTGCACCGCCTGAGGCTCCTGTTACAGGTTATATGTTCGGCAAAGGAATATACTTCGCAGATATGGTTTCAAAATCTGCAAATTATTGTTGTACCACTGCTCAAGACTCTACCGGACTAATGATTCTCTCCGAGGTAGCACTTGGAAACATGTTGGAATGTACTTCATCAAAATACATAACTAAGCTACCATCTAACAAACACAGTACTTTAGGTCGTGGACAGACTATGCCGGACCCAAAAGATTCATATAAGAGGAAGGATGGCGTAGAGATCCCGCTTGGTAAACCGATTACAGATACCAGCCTCAAGACATCTCTACTTTACAACGAATATATTGTGTACGATGTTGCTCAAGTGAACATTCAATATCTTTTCCGTATGAATTTCAAATACAATATCTGAACAGAACAACAAAAAATCTGCTCGTAATTTTTCTTATATCTGTCATAAACCAATATTAAATAAATATTAATAAATAAGAAATTGTTTGTCTATAAAATATTGTTTGTCTAGTAAAACACTTTCATATTGTTCACATGAGTTATTAGCGTTCTACAACATCCCATGTCACATCACATCACGACACTTCCCATCACGTCACAACACCTCATCACACAACAGTTCACAGCACACACACGCATCAAACACAGTATTATTACAACACTACAGCACAACAACCACACGATCATCAACGAGACGACTCGTAATAATCTAATATTCACCACCCAAATTATCAAAAGGAATAGATCGCTATATTCAGTTTTTTGCACTGTTCTACCGCAACAACCACCGCACTTTCTCTTCTTTTTATAAACCGCCAAGTGACGGGAGTGACGTGAAGCACGACAGCCGGTTCTACGCACCGGAATTGACTCGGATTTCATCCGACCAAGGGCTGTTTTTCGGCGATCTAACCCCGTTTGGATCGGTGAGTCTTAAAAACGTGAAGCACCGAGTTCGTCAACAGTGTTCAGCAGTGGGTTTCGCAGAAATCCAAAAGAAATATACATATACATATATTCACACCTATTCTGTGCACTTGACAAATTAATAAACTATTGAAAATTAACTCAAATATTTATCAAGCGAGAAATATTTTGGTTTTCTGTGCAGTCTTGATAAAAGTAAAAGATTCAATTCGTAAAGCTTTTCCCCACACGTGTGGTGAACTAAATAATGTAAATAGAAAACATCTGATTTCTATTCAAATTATTCGTTAAAATGGACTGTTCTCCAACGTAAGTTTTCAAATTTTATTTATTAAAAAAATTTATAATTTAACTATTATTTGATATTAAACCCAAATACGATAGAGCTTCGCACGAGCAACTATAGGCATATGTTTTATTTTGCACACCCAGAATGGGTACGGGGAAAAATTGCCCAAAAACATTTCAACAGATGAAGGAGTTGTGGCAGCAGCTGCCAGATGAGCTTAGTTCGTGGGGAGGACCAATACGAAGTTCTGCAAAATGGAAAGAGGTAACATTTTAGTTTATGCAACCACAATCCCGAACACCATCCAGCAAGTCCATCGACACCAACTACATATCTTAGCTTGGAAAACCAGGTAAGTTTTCATTATGATATAATTACAAAATATATAAATTTTTTTTTTTTTTTTGTAATTCCTTATTACGTTTTTTCTTTTAAGGATGCTTCAACTTCGGTGTTATCACGAAGTGCACGAAATAAGCTCATCAGCACTTTAATAGCTGACATACCAAGAAGGAATGCTGCTGAAAAGGAGAGGCGACAGGAGCATCGTGAAATGATGCAGGCCAGGCGTCTGTATATATATAACTAAAGAGTTGATACATATATATCTTGATCTTGTTCTTTCACCTTCGCGCATGTACTGTGAAGAGTTATAATCATTAATTGGAGTATCAAAATCTTCTGCAACTCCGTCATCTATTTCGTTCAACATAATGCCTGCTTTCGTCATTATGCAATATAACGCAGGTACTAACAAACAAAGCGGAAGTTTCGTGTGAATAATGTAGAACTCGGTGCTTCAACAAACATCTGAAGCGAGATTTTAAAACATCAAATGCTCTCTCTATGCAGTTTCTTCCAGAACCATGTAATTTGTTGTATTTTTACTCTTTATGGGTATTAGCTGTTCCCACTGGTGTTAAAAGCCACGGTTCTAGAGGATAACCTTGATCGCCAAGAAGCCAAGATTCTCTCCGTTGTTGCTCAGATGTGTTGGTATGCTGACGAATGAGATGTTCTCGTATGTCAGAAGTTGCCCAAATACCAGAGTCATGTATTGCACCCGGAAATTTGGCATTTGCAAAAGTAAAACATAAACGGTGATCGCAAACCTAAGAAACGATACATGCAAGAATTGCATTGGCATATATGTACATATGTGCATGCAAAAACCAAACTTACTGCTTCAACATTGATACTGTAGAATCCTTTTCTATTTAAATATAAATTAAGAGGACGTTCGACATTATTTGATAGTGGAACAATGATAGCAATATGCATGCAGTCAATTGCTCCTATGGTGCTTTGTATTCTAAAAAATCTGGAATATATTTCAAATAAATTAGCATATTACTATTTCTATTTCTCCTCCCTTCACCTTCACAATAAGTTTTGCTACAGCAGGCACACTTCTCGAAAGGGACGACTGACTCATGGGCAAGTTGACGTTGTTACCTACACATTTCTGGTATGAGCTGTGTCCAAAGAAGTTCAAAGAGAACCCTTACAGTTTTAAAGGTAGTGATGTTTTCTGATTATCATGTGGGGCCGGTTTATCAATTAGACCTCGGCAAGTTTCACGAGTTAATCGCAAATTTTGCACAAAGGTATTCTCGCTCAAAGAAAATGGATTGCTATCGTCGCGTAAACATTTTAAATGTCGCGAACGATTCCTATACTCACAATTTTCATCTTCGCTTAACAATAATAACAAAAGTAAAATATCTTCCATTTTCACAACAAGATGCACAATCAGATATTTAATTCATAACGAGCACTGCCGTCAAGGGCATTTGACATCTTAACGACTTATAAAGAAAAGAGCTTTTTATTTCAGACACATAATACCAAATGCTTGATAAATTTAAAATTGTGACAAATCATAAATATGGTGAATTTGTCAAGGGCACCAATAGGGGTGATTATATATATATACAATTGTGTTCAAAATAATAGAAGTACATCACAATATAAAGTACAAAGTTATGTTTTTCAACAAAAACAAGAATTTTATTAATTTATTTTTTGTCCACGAATTATTCATTTTATGCAGTCTTTTTAAGCTCTTAAATTTTTAGTAATACACAGTAAATGCGAAAAAATAAAAAAATGCTTACATAAAAACCTAAATAATTCGGTGTTCAAAATAATAAGAGTGCATCACAAAATTCAATAAAACTAATAATAAATAAAAAAATTGGAAATTACGACTACTATAGAAGTTAGTTTAGTTAATATTTAGTCGAGTAACCGCCATTTTTAATTACTGCAGCACATCTATGGGACATGGGATCAATCAGATCACGACACTTTTTCAGCGGGATTTGCTGCCATGCCTCGTGGACTGTGCTCCATAATTCCTTTATATTTGATGGTCTACGGTCAGCAACAGTTTTTTAATAGCTGTTCATAAGTTTTCTATGCAATTAAGATCAGGCGATTAAGCAGATCACGTCATAACCTCAACTTTATTGGTCCGAAGCCATTCTTTTGCAAATTTAGTTGTGTTTCGGGTCGTTATCTTGCTGAGACAACCACTTTATTGGCATATTCCATTCCGCGTATGGCAGCATTACTTTTATCAATATATCCACATACACGTACTGTTCCATGGTTTCTTTTATCAGATGTATTGGTGCCACGCCGTTATACGAGAAACTTTCCCACTATGCATCACGATGTTTGACGGTCTTAAGAGTGTATTGCGGATTACATTCCGTATTTGGTGGATGACGGTTATACTGCCTAGACCCTGTGTCCCCAAATAAAACTACCTTACATCCCTTTGTCCACAAAATATTTCTTAATTTCTCCGGTTGCCGGTTGCCATGTTCCCTGTGCTCTAATTATGCTTCTTTATCAACAATGGGATTTTTCGCGGACTCCGCGCAAATAAATTATATTCCAATAAACGTCTACGAACTATTATTTTACTAACATAAAGATCTATACGCTTTTTTATTTCTCTAGAGGACGCTTTGGGATCTTTACTTAGACGGCTGGAGTATGCGTCGATCTATTTCTTTAGTAGTTTTACGTTTTCGTCCATGTGTTTCGGCGTTATTTTTGTAGATCATGGAATTTGATATCATTTGATCAGGCACCCGAGTATTTCTTTAATTATTTTTTATAAGTTTTCACGTTTTTTCTAAGACTTGTAATGATTTCACGCCTTTTGTCACTGCGATGTTTTCCACTAATTAATTGAAATAAATGACTTATTCTGTAAAAAATCTCACCGTTTTTATTTTTTTGTACTTTTTAGTTTTTTAGTTTTAGTTTTTAGTTTTGTTTAAATAAAAATGTATTATACCACTTGGTAACTCACTCTCCTATTTTTTTTTTGAACAGCGCAATTCAGTGACCGACACAGATTTGAACTCATAACATTGGAAATAATGTAAATAGCTGAATTTTATAGTCTGTGTTTTACTCGCTCAATAC